GCTTCCCAGCCCCAACCCTCAGCCCTTACTGACGGCCTTTCGGAAGCCGTTCTGTACCGAGAGCAGCCAACCCAGCAGCCTCCGCCGCCGCCATCCCGGCACACCGCGCGCTTCCCACACTGCCGCCATTCATCTGCTGCGGCAGGAACAAAGCACGGCTCAGGCTGAATAGCTCTAGCTCATTTATTCTAGCTTTATTTTCCTTGTACAAGTAGCCACGGGCTAAAATCTAAACAGAGCAAACTACCAAAAAAAAAAAAAAAAAAGAGGGGGTTTTTTTTTTTTTTTTTTTTTCTTTTCCTTCTTTTTTTTTTCAATACAGAGCTAGCAATTGTAGGATCAATGGGATTTCAAATATCAAGACAGTTCAAAGTAAGAAAGGTAGAAAATAAACAGTAGAAAAAAAGTGCTTTGCAATTTGGGTTTTTATCATTACTCTTTAACGGTAGATTTCCACAAAGGACCGGGACAAAAGCTGAGCATCATCTTTTTTATTACTTTCTTACAAACTCAAGGACATTGCAAGTTCCAATGACGCAACGATGACCAAAGTGAAATCCCTCAGCTCTGCAGGACTGTGACCAGAGCTCTTAAAATCTTTTCCCCTATCTCTGGGCTTTGCCCTGGCCCACCACCCTTATTGTACAAAACGAGGTGACCAAACACTGCTCCAGGGGTAACCCTGGAGCCGCTGTCCTGGGTTGCACCGCTGCATGGATGTGATGCACGTTGGCAGCCCACATAACCATGTCCAGAGGTGCTTCCCTTCCCCTATTTCTTTTTAATTTGCCGAGGGAGGAAAACAAATCAGCCGGTGTTGGGTTTGCTAGATAGGATCTTTAATCTGCCTCGAACAGCCCAGCATCAGGAGGGATCCATTTCCAAATCCTGTTTGCACAGATGAAGGGAGTCAGTCGCTCCCCCTGTGCTGCTTGTTTTCATAGGGCTTTCATTTCCTTTTCCCCTCCTTCCTGGGCAGCTCGGCGAGGATCCCAATGCCTGATGGGTTTGAGGCCATTGCAATGAGCGTGGGCAGGGATGGAGGAAAATGCTGCGGGCATGGAGATGGAGTATGCAGGGCCACACTGACTGCCTATCAGTTTGAGCGGTGGTGGAAATGACTGCTCAGTAATTCTCTAATTAGCAGCGTGTTTGTACATACTTACATAGAATAAACCCGTCGGTGCAATTATGGTCTGATTTTGGGGTGGTCCCATGTGGAGCCAGGAGATGGATTCAGTGATCCCTATGGGTCCCTTCCAACTCGGGATATTCTATGATTCCATGAAATGTATTACGTTCAGCTCTGCTTTTGCAGCCCTGCACCTATCTCCCTTATGCACACACCAAGCAGCTGCCACCCAACTGACACCAAAATGTCTCTGGCACAGCATCTCTCATTGTATACTGCCAACCAAAAACATACCATCTGGGGTGGAACCTTTAAAATTCCCAAATTGGTCCAGCACTTAAAGATTTCAGCATCTTTCCAAAACAAGGAAGAAGAAAGGTACGTTAAGACAAATAAATACCTGAATCCAACAGCGTGAAAATACCCTGTCACAGCATCAAACTAGTCCCTGTCCAACTAAACACAACGTGGATACTATCCCTGAGGTAGCAGCCATCTCTGGTAGACTTGAGAGCTCCGAGAATAGGTTGTGCCCATTATGGGTTACAAAAAAAAATAATAAAATGAAAGTCAGTTTTTGGATACCTTAATTCCTTGCTGCAATTTCATCTCACCACAGCCAGAAAAGTGAGGGGGTTCCTGGATGTGCCCTGAAAAGGCAGGTGGGGTTGAATTAGTGGGATTATTTTCTTGTAAAATACTTCAGGATGTGACTCCTGCTCCAACCATGGGTGATTGCCAGCAAGCCGGCTTGGGACCCAAAGCCTGCCCTTATCCACTGCTTTTTGCATCTGGATAAAACATTCTGAGCCAAGAGGAAAAGGGAAGAAGAGAAGGAATCCAAAAGCCGGCAATCTTTGGGTTGAACATTTGGGACGTGGTGGAGCACAGCAGTGGGGCTCATCTGCGTCTTCTGGTGACCCAACACCCAATGCAGAAACAAAGCCCTGGTGACACAGTACAGGGAATGGCTCACAGAACACCTGCGAGGAGCATTTTGACACCTGCAGCCTCCCCCCAAAGCCACGCGGGGACCTGCTGTCCTACTTGTCCTCCCAGTGGCAGCACAGAAATCCCATGGTTTCCAGCAAAAACAGGGCAACAGTTTGGATGAACCGAGGGCAGGCTTGATCCTCTGCCCCGAACTGAAACCAAACACAAGCTCTTATTTTTTCCTCCTTCCTGCTTTACAAATTAAAGCCACTCCAGACAACACTTCCCTCACTTTTTCTGGCACAGGTTTGCCTACAGCCTGGCTCATGATGACCCCACAGACCGGCTCTTGCCACCTTTTGGAGGGTTTTTTTGCCCAGTTTGGTAAACTCAGGAGGCTTTGATGAGGTGGGGAAGGCTGCATCCTTCTGGCCACACAGCCTCAGCCCTGCAGGGCTGCCCCACCATCGGCATGGGTTGACAAGAGCGTCAAAGAAACCCAACAAGAGGAAGAGCTACACACCTAAAAACAGCCTTTAAAGATTCACATCCATCTTCAAGCGTCTCAAACCAACCCAGAATCTGCACTGGTTTAAGCCATTACATATCTGCATAATTATTTACAAAGAAAAAAAAAATCTACTCTCGACGTACTACCATATTCCAACTAGTCAAATGGCACAGCATTTCCCTTTAATAAAAGGAAGTAATGAGAAATACTATTACAATATCACAATAATATGATATTAAATTAATAGCATATTCACAGCTCCGGGGATCCTGAGCTGAAAGCTACTCTAAGTCATGGGTTCACTTTGGCAACAGTACTTCAATGTGAGCTTCGGCGTTCCGCACAACGACAAGGAAACAAGAAGCGGGGCCGGGAGCAGGATGGGAAGAGGTTTGGGTTTCGGGTCACGGCTCAGCTCCGGCCCTGTTTCAGTGATGGATGGATGGTGCTGTCCCCATGGCACACCAGAGCAGGAATACAGCCAGTGGGGTGAGAGGGGCTGCTTGAATCTGGTCTGGAAGCACAGGGACCCGCTCACACCTGGCCCTCGCCATCCCCAGGATGCAGCACACAGGACAGGACTTTCCTTACCATCCCATATATTGTATTATTTACACACTTACTGGCAGCATCCCGTTGCCAAATATGAAGGTGGTGGGGGATGCTTCTGACATAAGAGACTCTCCCATTGGTACCATTTAAAAAAATACAATTATTATTTCTCTTAAACTCATTTCTTTTCCTGATTCTTTTTGCTTTTCTCTGCAAACACGGTGACGTTGGATTTGCCACCACCTCTACAAGAGTTCAAACCTTCATGCTTGTCTGGTTTTAATAACCACATGGCAGGGGACCTGACGGGCAACATCAGTCACACACCAAGCTGTGAGGCTGGGACAACATCAAACAGGCTGCCCAGTGCTGTGGGTGCCCATGGTCAGGATGGATGGGGCCCTGGGCAGCCTGAGCTGCTGGAAGGCAGCCTTGTCCCCATCAAGGGGGTTGGACCTAGATGATCATGTTCCTTCCAACCCAACCGTTCTGTGATTCTAAGAATCTATGAATCCCAAAATGGTGGCAGGTTGGCGGAGGTCACAAAACCTCTCTTTGGTGTTGCTAGCCCTTCTGCATCGCAGTCAGAGCTCCCATACCCCGTCCTGACAGGAGCAACGAGACCTTGTAGGCCATGCATGGACCACGGTGACCACTTCAAGACGAGGCCCTGCTCACTGGAAACCCACTCAGGAGAATCTCCGTGGGTTCCGGAAGTGCTGAGCTGGGGTTTCCACGAGCTCCTGGCCACAGGGTGCCCTGGTCTTAGCACAGAGACCAGAGCACCCATCCCACATACACCCAAGGATGGGCCAAGACAGCTATTTGGGACCACCAAGTGGGCTCTGTGAGAGCAACGGTGCTGGCAAGCCGCAGGGCATCAACCACCATGTGGGCCATATCCGTGATGGTCCCCAGAGTCTTTAAAGGTAAAAAAAAAGAAACACGACACAAATCTCCACCAGGCGAAATCCCACCGTGCCTAAAATAAAGCTCATAACACCAGCTGCCTGCACGAGAGGCAGGAGGAGGGGGTGAGGACGCACACACACGAATTTCTCGCACACTTGAGGTAGAACATTGCTTTCAAGGTTTGGAAGTGCTTTACACAGGAAGGACGACAACAAAAACAACAACGATGCGGCAGGTACAGAGCGGGACGGCTGAGGTAGGACCAAGCTTGTACTGACCAAGTGCTACACTACTTGTTTTTGAACACGAAGGAAGACGCAGGCATTTCTGCTTCCCAGAAGACATTCATTCCGGTTGAGGTAGGTTCTGATTTCACTCGGGTTGTTCATCCAAGTCTTTCAGTAGCCCTCAGGCAGGCTTCCTCTGACACATTTTTTTTTTCTTTTTTCTTTTTTTCTTCATATTCTATAATCAATCAGCAAAAAAATATCCTGAGAAATAGTGAAAGTGTACAAAATCATCCAATCCACAGAGAGATGGCCTTCCCAGGCCTCAATTTTTGGAGTCAAGTTAGAAGGACTGCTCCGAATCCAGTCTTCTCAAAATAAAAAATAGATCCAAAAAGTAGTCCTAAAGCTGCTGGTCAGGAAGAAGTCTGTGATGCCAAGAGACCGAGGCATCCCGGGCCGTCGGGGACAGGAGTTTGCCAGGCTCTGCAAGGAGCCTTTTACTTAGCAGCTATGGGAAAACCAATCATGACCAGTCTTGGTAAAGCCATCGTTGAAAGAAATGCACCAAGGGGCCTGAGACAGGTCAGAAAGATAAACTTCACAGAGTTTCAAAAAGGCTGTATACACACACATATATATATATATACTTATATATATATATATATATATAAAAAATAAAGCAAAACAAAAAAATAACAATCAGACTGCAGAAATCTTCAATTGACCTGAGATTGATGAATCATTGTAAAGACATCACCAGCTGCAGTTTTGGTTTCTGGTAACTCCTGCAAGAGGGTTTGAGTCTTGGCAGTTTATCCTTCATTGGCAGGGCCGTGGCGGGGAGCCGAAGCAGCGGGGCTGCCATTGTGAGGGCTTTTGGGGGGAGAGTCTGGCTGCTCCTCAACAATGCTGAACTCGTCCATTGGCAACGTGGATATCTGGGTGTCGTCGTGGGCGGCAGGAGGGCTGTGAGCAGGCTGCAAAGAAAGAAAGTTCACTGATGGTGGCAGGTGACCAATTCTCTTAGGCATTTCATGGAATCGTAACGTCATTAAGGTTGGAAAAGACCACTAAGATGAGCAAGACCAACCAGCAACCCACCCCCACCAGGTGCGCTCCCACCTCGTGCTGCTGGACTTACCGTTATCCCCTTGTCCTGCTGCTCTGGACATGGTGATGCTGGGAACAACCTCTCCAGCTCGTTCATGTCCAGCTGCTTTCCGTTCAGGTCCCGCTCATCCCTGTCCCTGCGGGCGGCTCCGTTCAGGATGATCCCTGCAGCGCTCCTCTGGCTCCTTGGGATCTGCGGAGTCGACAGCTGCTCCTGCACGTTTTTACACATCAGCAGCCTGAAAAACAACGAGGCAATGCCTGAGGGTGAGCAGAGCCAGTGGCTCTCCTTCTCCTCCCTCCCTCCCTCCCTCCCTCCCTCCTGCCTTCCCTCCTTCCCTCCTTCCTTCCTTCCTTCCTGCCTTCCTGCCTTCCTTGCCTGCCTTCCTTGCCTGCCTTCCTGCCTGCCTTCCTGCCTTCCTTCCCCCAAGCTTAAATCTGCCTTATTTCTTTGCTACCTTCCTTCACTCTTGAAATCCCTCCTATAAGGTTACATCAGGGTCTGTGTGCCTGGGGGGAAGGCAGGGAACACGGTACCGACATCACCAGTGTGGCATTCCCAGGGCTGTGCAATGATGCTGCAGGATGCACAACCCACTGCATGGTGAGCAGCTCTTACCTTCCTCTGTACCCAAACATGAGGAAAAGGACGCAGAATATGATGCACGTGACGCCGATGTGGATCCCAATGATGATACCAGTCGCAGAGGTTTTGTTGTTCTGCTCATCCTTCATGCAGTCACACGGGGGGTTCAGCACTGCCAGAGGAAAGGGGGGCAGGAGGTTAGCAGTGGAAGTTTCCTTTTTCTTGGCATACATAAGCATCTCCCCTGTTCCTGGTACCCCATAGAGGCTGTAGAGAGCCATCCCCATCATGCAGGCTGCTGTTATCAGACTTTCCCTGAGTGAGCATGGCACCTGGCAGAAGGCACAGAGCTGGCAGCTGCCAACGGGATGAGTATTTACTCTAGCATAGACAGAGAAGTAATACCTCTCTCTTGGAGATATTCCCACTGGAAGGCTTAAAAGAACTGTAAGAGCAGCAGGATGTTTTTTACACATAGGTGAAAATTAAAGGTGTGAGCAGTTAGAGATTCCCTCTAGAGATTTCCTCTTCTGCCTCATATTGTAATGCTCATGCTCTGCAGCCCTTCTTCTCAAAGCCACGTGACCTCCTTTCTCACCACTAATAAAGCTCAAATGTCCGTGGGGGCTGAGCAAAGATGCTCAGTGCGCCATGTCTCTCCTGAGGACAGCAGTTTTTACCTAATGCTTTGAGGTGCTGGCTTCTAAACCTAATGAAGGGCAGCTGGGATGGATCATGGCAAGGGAGCCAAGTCCTATCAGCACAGCATGGTCCCAGCCCCACACACTCTCATCATTTGTGAGGCTGAAAATAACAGTGACTGAAAGTGGTGCTGTCTGGGGGATGTGTTGCCACTTGCCTCCAAATGGTCTGATTTTTGAGTGGTCCTTTTGAGTCAGGTAATGATCCTTATGGGTCCTTCCAACTCGGGACAGTCTGTGATTCTATAAATCAGTATTCATTAACTACAGCTGAGAACAGCCTCGTCCTACCTGTCCTCTCCGCAGTTTCCCTCAAGGACACAAAGCGGACGGTCGAGTTTCCATCCCCATGCTGGTTATAGGCAAGGAGTTTGACCTCATACACCATTGATGCATCTGTTTGGAGAAACAAGAAGGGTATTTCAGGCTTAATCATCAGCATTCTCTCCACAGCGCAGCAGTTCTTTAGGAAGCACACGTCACCAACACCATCACCAACGAGATGCTGCAAACAAGTCACAAGACAAACTGCACCACCTGCAAAGTGCCCATAAACCTGAGACAGAGCTGCAGCACCCCCAGCTCAATGGCTGAGCCCTCTGGGCGTCAGGAGGTGGTGCAGATGGAGCAGTCAGTGCACTCACCCAGGTGGGTGATGTTGTACGCCGTGACGTTGCTGGCCAGCAGCACCGGGCCTGTGTACTGGGAGAGGTGGACTTTGCGGTAGTAGAGCTTGAAGCCTTCGTGCTGGCCCAGTTTGATGGAGGGCTCCCACGTCGCCTGCACGGCCGTGCTGTTAATGACTTTAATAAAGAGGGATGGCATGGCTGGGACTGAAACATACAAAGAGAGACAGTGGGTTGTGCGCGCTCTGTATCTGTACAATGAGAAATTCCCCACCAGCATTTCCCTGCAGCCACTGCGACAAAGAATGTGCTAGATGAGACTGAGAAAATCAAATTAGACCAGGGCCCTGGTTTAACAGCCTAGACTCTCTTCAGGGAGCTGTGTGAATTTCCAGGGGCTCCCTGTGCTCAGCTCATCCAGCACAGAGGCTACTCTGACAAGCAGCTGCAATCCGATGCTCAGCCCCGCCGGGTCAGGGCAGGAATGCAGCCACTTTGGAAACGCATTCTCAGCTTCCACTTTTCTGCCCTCACCCCGAAGGCAGCGAGGACCTTTCAGAGTGATTAATCCCCACGGGAGGAAGGAACCAGAAAGGATGGAGCCGGAGACATCTGTCTTAAAGCAGAACGTGAGGTATGTATGCTGCTGCCTGGCTGAGCGCACTTGGTACCTGCAAGGGCTTGCACGGTGTGCTGGGCTGCTCTCCCTGCTGGCTTTCAGAGGGACATTTGGTTCCCTGCTGGGGGAATGAGGAGGGAATGGAGGCACCTTCAGTAAGAGCCCTACTTCCCTGAGCAGCCTGAGCTCCATGCACAGCTGTGGCTGGCACTTACCTGGCTGTAAGGGTGCAGGGGGATTTAGTGGGGAAGACAGCCATGCTGCTGCCCACTGCCACCAAGCCCTGAATCAGAGCCCACCTGGAAGCCTTCTGCTACCATCAGTGGCACTCTGCTCAACAGACCCAAAATCCTGCCTTCGTTTTTGGGGTTACAAACAGCAAAGTGTCATTGCCACTTTGTCCCCAGGTCCCCAAAAGCTGCCCAGTCGCATCCTGCCCCATCAGGCCAAGGTCTGCAAACCAGAGTCATTTTCTTTGAATCAAATAAATCAGTTTTCCAAAGCTGGTTCTGCACAAAACCCCGTGCAGAGCGGTGGCACAAAGCACCACGTGCCCCTAAGCATCCTCCTTCCCATCTCCCTCCCTCTCTCCCACACTGAGCACATCAGTGCAGAGATGTGTCTCAGCAGGACCTTTCACTGATGATTTTTTCACTTCATTTCCACACAACTCCCCCAGGCCAGATGCTCCCATCAGCTCCTGTGCCTTTTTCAGAAGGTGGATGGATGGCAGCAGGCACTGTGGGCTCTGTCTTGCCCAAGGGCTCTGCTCCCACACGGGTTTTTGGGCAGGGAGCTTGGCTAAACCCAGCACAAAAATCACCGAGCAGAACAACAGCCCTGCTTGTCTTTCAGCCTTTAGCTAAGAGAAGGCTTTGAGGCAGAGTTATTTTCCAGTTCTGAGTGATTATAAGCTCAAAATACCCCAAACATGAGGGCTGGTGGACTTGCATTGCACTGACGCTGCTTTTTATCTGGTTTTCCCCACAGGTCTCTAAACGATGTGCAGTGAAACCCGGCCCTGACACTGTCCTTTGGCACTGAGTTCAGCGCAGCCGTTTAGCGAGCACTGCTGAAAAGCAGATGAAATGTGGCTGTGACAGTCTGAGACTGACAAGAGCTAAAAAGGGCACTGCCTCCATTTAATAGGAAAGTCAGAACAACACAGCACAACAGTTGGCCTGTTCCCGGGCACTGAGAGCCCAGGTTCCCACAAGGAGATTTAGGGGGAGGCGAAGAGATTTCTCCTGGTGAGTATCCCAAAAAGATACTCACTCTTCTCTTCTTCTCTGAGCCAATGGAATAACAGAAACACGTTTAATTTCTCTCAGTTCCCATTAGGGCAAAATAAGGAATCGGATCTCCCCTCCGAGAAGTCGAACCCTTGCTCAGAGCATCAGTTCCTGAATCATCAGTGCAAACATCACAGAAAGGGAAACTGCATTATGGAGAAAGAAATACTAGCGTGGCCCATCCTGATTTGTGAAGAGTTGGCTTTATTTTATGGTTGCAGAGCCTTACATTTAATAAAAACCACAAGAATCTCTCCCCTTCAAGGTATGAAATATATAGTATTTATTCAAACTCTGAGTATATATAAGTATAATATTGATTAGATGGACGTACTTGTAGGATGCACGTGCTGCTTATAATGCCATTACACAAATAAGTGTATACAGATGGAGCACATCTGTGTGTGCAGCAATATATGTACTACACACACGAGTGTATATGCGCTTCACAGAAGTATATATTCAAAACATAATATGACTCTAATATAAGTAAGGCATCTCCCTCATGCTAAGGGCTGGGATATTCGTTTTCCTCTTCTGTGCTGTTTGGAATTTTCCCCAGGTCATTTCAACTTTCTTCTTGAAGGCGTCTTTAGCCGAAGGTGACTAAAGGAACAGTCTTCATCCTAGAGAAATGTCAAAAAGTCCTGGAGAAAACCCTAAAAAGCATTAAAAGACAAGAACAGGACTGCATGCTGCTTAATGAAGCGCACAGAGTCTGAGATTTAAAATACCGTGGCATAAAGAAGCCCTGAGCTGGGCACAAGAGCTCCCAGAAAAGCACTGGGTTGCCAAATTGAGGAAGTCAAAGGGTTTTCTATGGCGAGTGCTCCCTGCCTACCCAGATCCCAGCACCAGCACAGGACGGGCACCAGGCAGAAGGGCCACCAGTGCTGGGGGGAGGAAGAACAGCGAGGAGGCGAGCAGACCTTTCTAGCAAGGAGGACAAGGTTGTCTTGTTTGGTTTCTCTGCAGCACCTTGCTGCCTTCCTCTCATCCACAAAGGAAGGGGCACTGTGCTTACAGAAAGCATTGGGATCTTCAGCCATGTGCACTGTCTCAGCATATTACTACCCTGAAAAGCAGCCCTGCTCTGAGAACCACACCAGCAGAACACGATCAATGCAAGATGGGTCTGAGCAGTTCCAGCTGCCCACACCTTTGCCTGCAGCTCTGACAAGCTCTGTGGAGCTGAGCTATATCCTGCAGCCAAAAGGAGCCCTCAGCTTCTTTCCAGCAGAGCAGGACAACTCTGCTCCCTTCCAAGGCCGTTTAACAGTACGGCTCCCCAGATACAAAGGGTCACTCACTGCTCTTTGGTGTAACCTGGGGAGGCACAGTGTGACATGGCTTGGCTGTGCATGAGAAGGGGCATATCTGCAGCAAAACCTGAATTTGGTGGCCAGAGCTGCTGGATCCTGGCTCCCTGCCCCTCTCAACTCCGTGAGCAAGAGTGAAGCAAAGCAAAAAAAATTCAGAGAGAGCCAGCACTGTCTGCACCATGTCTACTTACAAATCAAGACAGAAGTGGGCTTGTAAATCTCCTTTTATCATCCTGGGAGGCAACCCCAGGTTGAGTGATCTTAACCAGGCCAGCCTGTCCATCCTGAACACGTAGCTAATTGCTGCAGGTTCATTAACACAGAATAAGACTTTTTGAAGGGTAGCAGAGCAGGACAACGATGCTTTGCAATTTCAGAGAGCCTGGAAATTTATGATCCCATTACCAGATACTTCACTATTCCTGCTGTGATTGAAGGTAATAATGACAAAACGCCCTATCTTGCTTGACCCAAACTTGAGCAGAAGCACCAGACTCTGTGAAGCATGGCTGGCTTTTAGCTGCAGTAGCTGAACTCAGTGCATCGGGTCAAGGAATTTCAAGTTGCAGCTTGGTCAGTTCCGCTGTCTCTAAATTGGAAGGAAAAACAAACTCAAAGGGTGACTGATTTCCTGTGGAGCACCAATAAAATAAACTTGCGAGGCAAGTGTCTAGTGGTGGTGTTGCTTAAATGCTGTAGTAAATGGCAGCAACAGCTCAAGATGGAAGGAGGGCCGGATTCCCCACCTGTAAGTCAGCGTACTCTTTCATTTAATCTTACATTGTACCTCATGCCCTCCCTGCTGCAAATTTGTAAATACTGAGTGTTCAGGAGAACAACGGCAGGCTCCTAGGAAATGATCCTCAGTGAGACAAGGACTCAGAGGTGCTGGAGAGGAACATGAGATGGTAGGAAAACGTCCTCCAAATGCCAGCAGCCAGATGGGTGATGTTTGCAGATCACACTCAGATTGTGGTTTCTGGCTGGTGTCCACACACAAAGTGCCCTGCATCAGAGTTCCCACTTTAACTGGAGAAGCCAACCGGTGGCCACATCTGGGAGGCCAAGGCAGAGAAAAGACCTGGAGACCTGCCTAACTTCCCACTGAAACAGAGGGCTGCTCCAGGGCAGGGACTCGTGGGCTAGGACAACCCAAGTCAGTGTGCTTTCTCAAAGGCAGAGCATAAAAAGGTTAAATTCAGAAAAGCGTGGCACCTATCAGGTAAGAGCTGTGAGTACCAGAGCTGCAGAGAGAACTTCTCCAAGAGGAAATGTGCCATTTAGCAAGCAGTTTAGGAAAAGCCCACAGCTGCTGCAAGATGAATGAGAGGACTGATTTGCACTCACACTCTGCTACAGCATAAGTGAGTAAAACACAACATTTAAGGCCATTGGTTGATCCCCATGTAACAACAATAAATGTGAGCTTTAAACAATACCCCACAGTGTGAGAAGAGCAGAAATCAGGAGCAACAACAACACAGGCTGCGTGCCAAGGCGCTGGGGAATGGGTATCAGGGTGAGTGGTGCTGCTGCTGTGCACAGCAGGTTTCAGCATCTGACGGCCCAAGTGCAAAGCGATCCTTACCTTCTCCCAGTGTGCTCACCACTGTGACTTCTGAGGCTTTGCTGGCACCCCGGGAGGTGTAAGCCTTTATATAGAAGCTATAGCTGGTCGAGGGTTCTAAATCAGTCACTAGCTGCTGGAAGGTGCTCTTGCTAACAGCCTCCTGATACTCCATCTCCACGGGATCTAAGTTGAAGGACAGAACAGAGACACATTAGACTTTGCAAGAGGTAAAGGGATTAAAGAGATTTTGTAAGCAGTAAGTTTGGTTCCTAATGAAGAGACTTTTGGGTCCCTATACCCTCTTTTGATGCGATTTGATCATTCAGCTTCACTCTCCCAACCCTTTTGCTACTCATACCACCCCTTATTGCCCGACCTGTCTTTCAGAAAGACGGAGGAGATGGAGTTGATGGCAGCACTGCAGTGCAGACCCGGTGCATCTATTGGACCTCACTGCTACATTCTGTGAAGGCTGAGGAACCTCTGGGCAGTGGGCAGACCATACCTGCAGCTTTCCGGATGTGCAGCACGTAGCCTATGATCTCCTTGGTGTTCTGCAGGGGCTCCTCCCAGGACACCTGGATGGTGGTGGCAGACACCGTCTCGGCCCTCACGCTCTGCGGGGGTCCAGGCAGCCCTTCTGCCCACAGGACCGTCAGGCGGGCGCTGGCCTGCGTGGAGCCGGCGCTGTTCTCGGCGATGCATTGGTAGATGGCTTCATCCGCCTGGTTGATCCCATAGATGGACAGAGTGCTGCACGGGGACACGAGAGGGCCAAGCATAGAATCATCAAGGTAGGAAAAGACCTTAGATCGTCGGATCCAACCATCAACCCATCACCACTATGGGGATTACGTGAGTTCCCAAGGACACTCCTACCCGAATCCATGCTGAAGAGGTGAAGGTAAACACAAGGATCTCCAGATGGCCACAGGCAACCCAGCCACACAGCACGGCAAACAGCCACCAGCAGTGATTCTGTTCAGGCACCGCACATGGGTGCTAAGCCAGGACTGACTGAGTGCAGCCAGAATACCCCTCGGTGATGCTCTAATTGTATTACAGCACATTAGAGCAGTCTTAGGGTGACAGGAGGATTAGCTGACTTATTCAGCAGGGTTACGTGCTCAGCTCCTAGCTCTGTATTCTCAAAAAAACAGTCACCATGAGCCCAAAGCCAAAGCCTATCAGTGCAGTGCAGGTTTAAAGCATCTGCAAAAACCCTCAGTGCATTTCCATGCATCAAAGACAACTATAGGCTACCCTGCTGGAAAACAACCCTAATAGAGGGAGAAAGCCATTGAAGCACCTCTTCCCCAAAAGACAGTGCTCCTGTCTCTGCACCACCTCTGGTGAGCACACTCTGGGATGCTGCTGGTGGCTTGGTGGGCACATAGACAACTAGACTGCATGTACACATGGGCACCTCAACTGTTTCATTCCAGAGGTAAAGTTCCCGCTCGAGCCCTCGGTCCACTTCATTTGAATTTTGGCAGAACGTTTGGGAGACCTCAATGCCTCTCAGTTTTAGCATCATCTCTTTGCCTTGTGCCAAAGCTTACACGAGCCTTTTGTTCACTGTTTTTTCTGCAAAAAATGAGCAAAATGTAACCAAAACCACACCTGCTGCTTCTAGGGAGGATGAGACCAGTTTCTTCTCCTGAAGTGAATTCCAGGTGGACCTCAGAGCTGAGTGCACAACACACGAGTAAATCATGAGCACCTCTGCTGATGCAAGGGGCACTCTGTGGTTTTTAGGGAGTCGTAATCAAAGCTGTCTTTTATGCAAATGAAAGACAGTACATGGGAGGAGGCAATGATAAATAACCTGCCTGGATGACAGAATGAATGCTTCTAATTGCAGCAAAATATTGGTCTTCCAGTGTTAAAATTTATTATCGCTGTTGATCTAACATTTGTATTTCTGCCTTGCAAATTATCCAGACCATGGTGAGTGAGCAAATGTTTAACAGCCATCTATTTATGCCCCGTGCCTTTGTTTCCTTGGAAACATTGTAAATGGAATATCAAATGTGATGGTTTCAGCTGATATGGTGATTTTACAGAACAAGCCCTAAGCCCCTCTCATCGCCACGGGCTCAGCAGATCTGATTAAATGGAAGGGGAGCCCTGGCGTGTGGCTCAACTCAACGGCCCGACTCCGGCGAGGACAGATGGCAGCAGGCAGGATTATGCAGTGCAAGAGCTGCACTTGCAGCTCTGCATAAAGCAGATGTGTGCAGGGAGCAGCGGTGTTTCCTCCTGCCCTGTCAATGTGGGGATTATTTCTGCAAGGCTGCAGTGCATCTGGGCACCGGGAGCAGACAGCCAGGGCTGGCATACACACCAAGAGCAGTGTTAAGCACAAAGCCAGCCAGGAACAAGGACCATTTATCTGCTGCCTCCAAGTGTACTTACTTATCTGCTTTGCATTTAAAAGACAGAGAGAGGAGGGAAAAGGGGAGGATGCTTGAGATGCATTGGCAGAGCCCCGGCCATCCTCTGCAGAGTGCTAGTGGGTGCCAAGCCAGAAGGAATAGAAATAAGGCAAATTGCCTCAAAGTGATCATGAAGATAGCTTCAAACGTGCCTCTGGCTTTGAAAAGTCCATCTTAATCGTGATTTGCAATGAAAAACAAAACAGCTGGGTTTGGCTGTACAATGAGTCACCTGGAAGGACGCACAAGCAACAGGGTCAGTAAAGCTGCCGGATTTGCAGCTCTGCCTATAAACCTGGGGGAGGAGCACAAATCAAGTGAGTGGGATACCCAGCATCTAAACACCAGCTCTGTGAACACCAGTTTCTCTCCCTTCAACTCATAGACAGAGCCCTACAAGGGGCTGCCAAGCTGCAATACAAGGAGTTGGCAGTGGGTTAGGGTTACTCTCTTTGCTGTGCATCCTTTTGCATCTGAACTACTGACACATTCTGCCTACCTCACACAGCACCCCTGGGATGCAGAAGATGCTTTTTTAATTGTTCTCTTTTTCTAAGGAAGCTCCAACAAAAGGAAAAGAGGTGGCTGCTGTGTGAGGCAGCGCAGAGCATCGCTACGCATCAACCATCTGAAACAGGAGGTGTCCTTTTCTTCCTTCCCGTCACCAGGAAAAATCTGTCACTCCTGGGACATCTGCTGCTGGAAAACTTTCCTGTGAGCGGCAGACCGGCAGCGCCGCCACCACAGCGAGATGCCAGAGGACTTTGTGCTGCTCACCAGAGCCGCGCGGGCTGCATCACATCTGGGCACAAAGCCCCGCTGGGTGTTGATGGAGGTGGGGAAAAGAAAGGCTGTGGGTTCACACTCTGCTGAGCCAGAGTGAGGAGGGGAGTGGGAGGGCTCCGAGCTGCTATTCCCAAGCTGTCTCGCGGCTTGCAGGCAATCAGGATGACTGATCTTGCTGAGGTCAGGGGTCCGGGCCGTTGACCAGAGATCAGCTTTCCAAAGGCTCCTCTGCAAAAGTCTGAGGATTGAAGGAAGGCTCTTCATCGATTCAGCGGCACAAAGGAGGAGAGGGGCCCAGCTGGAAGGAGATCAGCATGCGCGCGCACGCACAAAGCGGGAGTGTGATGAAATTAATGCAGAAATGCCTGGGTTTGGAGGCTGCCTTTAGTGTAGGCTGAGAATAAGGTGCAAAACATAAAGGGTGACACTCGTTGGCCCAGACGGACGCTACAGATCATTCCCAGCCTTTCACACACATTCTAACACCCCTAGGAATTAAATGCCCTGCAGGCTTCTTAGGTGGAACCGAATTGCCAGGGTCGTGCTATGCAGGACAGGAGGATAATCCCTTTCTGTGCAGCCTGGCTGGTGTCTAGAAAACACAGGCCAGGATCCCACCCAGCTCTTTGGTTACAGACTCACCCCAGTGCAGTTCCTGCAGGAATGCTGCCATTCCCAAATAGGATGCATGGTGCCAGTGGGAGCCTCCCCACCCACTCACCTGCAGGACAAAAGGGTCACAGCCAATGCTCAGCCCTGCAAAGCTGTCAGACAGAGATGCTGCTCTTTCTTGCAGCCCTGGGAGAGGACAGCTTCCAGCAGGACAGGGATGTGGCTGTAGGATGGCTTTTCTCAGAAGAGGATGCTGTAAAAAGGTACAGCAGCAGGACCACTTCATCCTGAAATGCTCATCCTTCCTTGCTGGCTTCAGGACACCTGGGTTTGCAATGTTACATAGCACTGAGGACATGTAGTGAATGAGCTGCTGCCACTTGCTCTGTTTGAAACTACAGATTTAACAGAATCCTGTCCGAGGCAGGGAGCAGAGAAGGTTTTACATCTACAGAAACACAGAGCACAGAACATCTCAGAAGAAGCTCCTGGAAAGGAGGGTGGATGCCTGTGTTGGTAGCAGTAACACAGACAGCTGAGAGAGCTACTGCTGCTCATTAATAAGCCCTCCCAGGTATATTTTGTCCCAAGAAACACTGAAGCCCCTGAACTGCACTTCCTGAGTAGAGCAGTAGCAACACAACAGCAGCCACAAGAGGACAGACTGACACCCATCACCACTACCTGCCCTGGGGCTGCAGTGTGACCCTGGCACAGGACTGGTGCCCATGGAAGGGGCTGCCCCACCGAGCATCACGCTGTGTGCGACCGTGCGCAGACCCACCCCCCCACAAAGCAATTAGGAGCCTGCACAGCCTCCCCACGTGTCTCTTCCAAATGAAGTCAAACCCATAAATTATTCTTAAATCACAAGCAGCTGGTTCGCATCCCGGTCCTCCACGTGCTTATTTGTCATGCTTCTGGGAACTGAAATATGATTTTCAATATCTTCTCATAATCACCAAAGGTCTTTAAGCTCACTGCGTGCACAACCCACAGGCTCGCCTGTCCCCCTGCAAGGCGCCCAAATCCCTCCAAATTCAGGAGCTTGAAGGGATGCACAAATCCCTTTGTACCTCTCTGCACCCAGCTAACATGGATTCCGTAGCCAAATGCCTCCTTGCCAGCAGCAGGCTGTGGTTGCCATGGGTTTGGTACCCAAAAGCACATGAAGGTATCTCCTTGAAGCCCATTCTCCATATCTGCGACACAACCAGTCAAGAAAAGCAAAGTTGTCCTCAAATCTAGGTAGAGGGGTATTTTCTTTGATAATCCCTTGAAGTACATGCACAGCCCTTGAAGTGAGTCATTCCCACTGCACTAAAACAAGGACAAACCAGTGATGAAGAATTTAAGCAGCAGACAGTTCATAAGCAAAGGTCACAAGGAGAGCAAACACCACCTGAGCCTGAGTTCTAACGAAGCCTTCCTCCCGTGGAACAAATTAAGTCCCTTAATTACCATTTTGTAAATAAAATCTTCTTGGAAAATCAATATTTAGAGCCTGCCTTCTCTGAAGATGTTAGCCTTTGTTCCTTGCTATTACAGCAACATAACCCCCACTTCTGGGCTGAAAATTATCCCCCTGAACCTGATTGGGTTAAAGGAAGAAAAGCAATAAACCTCTCAGAGCACTAATTTAGGTAGTATTTCATGCTTCCTTGTAGATTTTGAAGTAATAACCTAAAAAGCATGATTTTACACAAGCTCACAACTAATACATCCAGTAACCACCCCTTCCTGCTGCAGCAGCCCACATGCATTAGGGCTCTGTTGCCAGGTGGGAATGCAGCTGAAAGTGCCGATTTCTCTTTCTCTTAGGCCAGAGCACTGGTATCACCATCGATCCAAATCACCCCATCAAAAACAAGGGCAGCATGTCAGCTCTGAACCAAGGGGCACGGCTGAGCACAGCATCCCTCTGACACCTCTCAACCCCCTCCCCAACCCGGGGATCACATGGCAGGACACCCCCCATCACCAGCCCCTCCAGTGCTTCTTATTCACAGATTTTAATGGCAAACCCCACAGTTCCCCACACCTGAGCCTTCATGCATTTTTCATCAACAATTATCCACTATCCCAGAACTGCTTTTGATTTTTGCTAATCATCGATTGGGTATTTTGTTCCCACGCAGCTGGCATTTACAAAACATAACAGCCACCTCCGGAGAGGGCACAGCAGAAGGCTGATCTTTAATGCTAATGTGTCAAGAAACCATCAGCACACCAGGCAGTGACGACTCGCATCAGAAGGACCACGAGGGAAGAGGAATTTATTGGACACAGCCAGAAGATCCATGCCTCAAGCAGGGGCTGTGCTTGCAGAGCTCCACCTCGGACACTGCAGGTCTGGATCACACTTCTAGTTGGGTTCCTTTCCAAGAACAAGGTTGCTCTGAGTAACATACTTTGAAAACAATTAGCACGTGGTATGATTTGGGATGATGTACTCTTTTTTTTCCTAAAAATCCCTATGGGGGCATTGAGACCATTATTGCTATATTAAGCAGAGTTTTAATCCAAATGAATTTTCTAGGAAACCATGAAATCTAATTAAATAGCTCACGGTGCAGTTTAGTAGCTTCATTACTAGTAGATTTGTGATCCATCTTTACATGGACAAATATTTTCCAACTTCAATAGACTGATAAATCCAAGGCACAGTCACAGATTCTGCCTGGAACTAAGTGAACTCAGTCATGCCCATGAGAAAGAAACAAAGCACAGCTTGAAAAAGGTCAGGAATAAAACACTAATCCATCTTTTCCCTCGATTCATGGAGCACCCAACAACACACTGGACAAGCAAGAGCATTTTTCAGACTGAAAGCTTTGGAAACTGCCAGGCACGGATATTTTGCTGAACTCAGGGTTGGAGCAGGCCAAAAGCAGAGGAAAAGAAGCCAAAAGTTCAGTATTGTCAACTGCGATGGCCTCGGGGTTCTGCTTCACAACTGCATTACTACAGCTGCAGAAGACAGCACATGTCAGCTGAGCCCAGGAATTGGCTGAGCTCCCCCAGCCTGCTACAGATGCACTGTGATCTGATCGGTTTGCTTGCAATGGAAAAGGCTGAAGCTAAATTGCATTAAATGACTGCCATAAGAAAATGATTACAGCCATGTTCACCGAGTGGCAGTTAACAGGCACGTGGAGAGCAGCTCTGGGCAATGGGACTGGCTGGAAGTCGTGGTCATGATCAAAGACCCTACTTTTGCCTTCCTTTAACAGGGAGGAGGGATGATTTCACAGGCAAGGCACAAGGAAAGACCCAGATCTGGACTCTGTGCGAGTTTATTCATGGCTTTTGAAGTCTTTGGTCTCTCGTGACTCTGCCTCCTGGCCGATACAGGGGGACGCACTGATTTCCCTTCTCCCATTTCTGTTCATATTCTAAGGGCAGACATGCCTCAGAAACCCAAGCAGTGAGCTATTACACCGTGAGGATGGAATGAGTGGCATCTGTAAGTGCACGCACAAAGTTCACTGAAGCTTTCTGAAATCTCAGTATGAAAAACCCTCCACTGATCAAGAAGATGTTATTACATTTCACACCTTGTCCTTCCTGCAATTCACATCCTTCATGTAACAAACCTTAAAAATGCCTCAACCCTGAAAACAAAAAGCTGCCTTACAGAGAACCTTACAGAAATAAAACCCCCTTTTCTCCTAGGGAACACGTGTTGGTACCAACCCAGTCCGAACTGAAGGCCCTGACTTTCCATCGAGGTGGACTTGTGAGTCACATTTATCAATACAGAGAGCAACTACATGACACTACAGAGTGCAAATCTCTACCAATAATTTAGGTTTACAACACAGGTAATGTTATTTTTCAGCACACTGTTCAATGCCATTTCCATAGGAAATATGTTGTCAACTTGCAATTTTCACACTAAGTGCATCCCACCGTATCATTTGCGCAGTGCAAACATCCCCATCCCCTCGAATGGAAATGCAGTTATTTAGTACTCAGAGAAAACACTCTTCCCTGGTGAGATAAAAGGCTGTAGTTCAGTGACAGCCAGCTTCCATGCAAATATCTCAAACGGGGAAATGCATTTGCACACCCAGGCAGATCAGTGTATGGGCTCCTCCACTGTGGAGTGAGCGTGGTGTCCCAGCCAGCATCAGGGACAACATTTGGCCCTCCCAGAAACACCCAGAAGAGGATCAGGACGGTTGCCAGGTCCCACAGGTCAAAGCCTGTGTGAGCTAACGTGCTCTTTATTCAGTTTGATCCCATGTTTGTAGCTAAATAGTGTGAAACAGACCTGCAGCGACAGGTATTTCTGGGCCATCAGGTAGGTGATGTCAATCCTTTGTGCATGGCAACTCCAGGCTGACGCTGCCCTTCACCCTGGCACTTACCTGTTGTTATTCTTCAGCTTGATGTGGTCACTCGTCTCCAGGATCTGCCCATTCCTCAGCCAAGTGATCTGCGGGGGGGGGCTCCCCTTGGGCCACACACGTGAAGATGGCTGTGGTCCCCACGGGCCTGGAGATGGACTGGGGATGCTGCACGAACTCTGCAGGGGCTGCAGGGAGGAAGAAGGAGAGAAGTCAGGATGATTAGTCTTCATTCTGGCATGAAAAGCAACCTTGTAGCTTGGTTTGCATCGTCTCAGGTACTTGGAAAGAAAGTCCTATTATTGTCAGATCCAGGGACATATTTGGCTAAGCCACAGCATAGGCAGCAAATAACATATAAAATGGCATTAGCAAACTGCTTGCAAATGGACAGGAATGTACAGACATGCACATGGCAATCTGGCAGGTTCTTCTGTCCCCAGCAAATATGGGATTTGCTGCACATCATCCTGATGGCAATAGACAGGAAGCCCTTTTTAGCTCAGATCCGCAGCCTGGGACCCTTCTGGAACTGCTGAGCCTTGGAGGAGATTGCATAGCCTGTAACTGCTGTAACCTCATAACCAAACATTTTTACCTTCAGATTTGTAAACAGAAAGTGATTTCTCCCCCTCCCAGCAGCTCTGAATAGATTTAAAACCATTTATCAGAATAAAACAGCACAGCAGCCTACAGAAAGCGGGGCTGAAAGGCGCTGCCAAACCGGTGAGTTTATTCAAGCAGTTACGCTTCAAAGGGCAAAGTGATAAATACACTCCATGCTGATGCTGAGACCTAAAATCAGGTGGAACCAGCAGCAGCCGCAATGAAGACAAACAGACGAGAGGCATGAGCCCATAATGAATTTACCAACCAGTGCTGCACAGCGGATGGCTGGCGTTAAATTCTTCCGACAAAAGCAAGATCATCCAGGGAGAAACACTCAGTGCTACCTGCAAGATTTTCCATGCATGGGGCTGGTGTGAGATGCAGAGATGGGAGGAAGGAGCAGACTGGTCCAGCAAAATGTGCTGGCTGGGTGCAAGCTGCAGGCAGAAGCAGCTATGCAAGAGCAGAGCCTCGTGGTTCATGGCCAGAAACACCCCAGCACAAAAACCAAGGGGTTTAGCTATGACAGCACAGCATGATTAAGCTTTTCCCCACCTGCATGCATGCAAGGAAACAGCATCATTATCACTGCAGCAAGGCCAAAGCACACCAAAAGGTGCCTCTGTCTCAAAGCAAAGTCACTGGTTAGAAGTCCTGCAAGCAGAAAGACACAGAAGCTCACTGAAGAGCTCATCTACCTTGAAGGAACCCCTTATTTCAGTTTTAATAACCGAAGGGAAGTGGAGCATGGCAGCCCTGACTTATGTTAGCAGTCAGGGGCGTCCCCCAGCAGAGTTTATTGTCAGGCACTCGGGTCTACTAATGAACCTGAGCTCAACAACCTAATGGACACATATTTTCAGAACCTCCTGCTAAACTTCGCCAGGTGCCGATCGATGCATTGTCCTTCTTTTTCCTTTCCACATTTTTCCCCCTAGACTTATAAATTAAAATAAAATTCAGGACGGGCTCAATAAAGCTGGGAGCACAGACAAATGGGGATGAAATCTCCCTTCCCTGCACACACTGGTTCCCTTTGTGGCACACACTGAGAGCACAGCACGTTAGGGACCTGATTTTCAAGGCTTCCTTAACCTCCTGCCCCCCATTTTGTGCTGGCGAAGGTTTTGCAGGAGCAATTATTCTGCAAGTGGCTGTGTACCTCCTGGCTTTCATCTGGGCTCAGGAGTCACGCCTGCAATGCTCACAGGTGCAAGATGCAGTGCTAAGGAAGGGCATGGCCATCTTTGGATAGCATCATTATGGACCCCTCTGATGGCTCACCCCATACCGAGGGGTTGGAAATCACCTCTAAGACCACCAAATCCAACCCCAACCCAGCCCCATGGCCTATGTGCCTCAGTGCCACATCTCCATGGATCCAGCCTACCCACATCCCTCTGTAGGACCTTCCTACCCCCAGGCAGATCAGCACTTCCTCATAACTTGGTGTCATCTGCAAGCCTACTGAGACTGCACTCAATCCCCTCATCAGCAAGAAAGGAGCAGCAGCACAGCCCTGTCTTATTTTCATTCATAATTAACAGAGCATCTCATTAGTGCTCAGCACATTGAGGCACAGCGGCCTCAAAAGCTCACGTCCTTCCACCTTGCAGCCAAAAGGCCACTGCAGGTGGTGAGGGGAAGCATCTCAGCCCTCCCAGGAAAATCTTAATGTAGACCTTAACAAAGATCACTCTTCAGAACAGAGGATTCCATCCAAGGAGGAGCAGGCAGGCTCCAGCTCTTGCTTCTGTGGGATGAGGAAACCAGAATGTTGATTCTTCAGGACTTAACGGGAGGGAGGGGATCATTTTTAATGAATTTTTAATGAATATTTAAGGGCATGACATTGGTATCAAAAAGCAATAATGCTTAATGCCACCTTCAGAATCGTTAACAAAGTGCTGCAATAGGTTTTTCTGTGCACAAACTGTGACAGCACAAGGATGCACTGTAACAGCAGGCTGCAATGGGAGAGCTGGGCTGGATCCATCTCTTCCCAGCCCTTGGGCCTCAGATAATGGGGAGCCTCTCTATGCAGCCCCAGCCCCAGCACTGGCTTGGGGTGCAGTCTTTATTGCAGTGAAATTCGAGGTGCCAGTGCCCCTTGCACCCAAACACTGAGCAGTCATTAATTCTCAATTAGCTACAGTCATAGGTTAAGGGAGGGAGGCTGGGGTAAGGAGGAGGAAGAATAATCTAGAAGCAACAAAACCTCATAAATTAGGCGTCCACAATGCACAAGAAGGGCATAAAGGAGAAGATGGGTCAGCAGGGAAGTCAGTCAAGCAGAGCATCAGATGACAGAAGATAGAGAACCACCTCTCATTTTGCCTCTTTCTACTGCCTAAGAGGATGCACAGACGCTTCTGTGAGAAACCGCGTAAGCTGCAGAGCTGGTGGGACTGCTGGGGCCAAAGACAGAACCATGGCCATGTCACCTCCTGGTCACCTACCTGGCCCAGGGTGGACACACTGGGGCTCCAGCACCACAGCTCACTACATCATCCTAATGGATGAGATCCAACATCCCTGCTCAGCTGCTTTCCTTGGGAAGGCAACCGAGCAGGAGGGCAGGCTGACCCACGCAGCGGGTCACAGGGCCAGTTCTGAAGCATGAATTTCAGCCAGGGCTAAGGTGCAAACCACGTGCCACGGTGCTGAGCCTTAACCACAGCACATCTGCTGGCAAACTCAGCCTTACAGCAACACCAAACATGGCACGGAGATGGAGGAAACACCAGGAAGTGCAGCGGCAGCCAGATCTGTTGGACCGAGGAGCAATGCTCTGTTCTGCCAGCAGAAAACAACAAGAACAAGGCAAGCATTGTCGGCAGAGCCTTCAAAACCACGTCCTTAAGATGGGTACCCATTTATGAGATGGGCTCTCATTTTTCTGCATAGCTTTCAGGAGGAAATGAAGCGTGGAGTGGAGAACACTGGTGACCATCTGGCCATTCACAGCCCATCAGTTTGTTATGACACCAAACACATAATAAAGCACAAAAGATTGCACAGGAGGTAGGGAGAAAGCGCTTTGATATGTTTTTCTCCCCTTGCCACCAAAGCTTGCTCTTCCCTTGCACCGCACACACGCATGCCCTATGCTTGGCCGTGCTGCGTTCGGCCCTTCCACAGCTCCCCTGGGAGACTTCCATTGGCAGCCTGGCACAAAGCAATATTCAAATGTCTGCACTGGGATCTGGAGAGAAAATGGAAACTTTCTTGTGTGAGAACCTTACAAAAGAGATCAAAGGAGCCTAAATGGCCAGGGGAGGGCAAGGAGGGAGGGAGGGAGGGGGGGATTGAGGCCTTATCCTCTGAAGGGAGGAGGAATTCCCAGGAAGATAATAAGATGATCTGAAGGAGAGCCTGCAACGTGAAAAGCTGGAGGAAAAGCAGAGCCCTGTGACAAAACACCTCTGTGGCTGCTGGGATGGGGACCCTGGCATCCTGCAGAGAGGCAGAGGCGGCAGCAGGAGGGCGGATGGGGTTTCAGTCCCTGCCTCCTGCCAGCTCCTTGCCTTACAACAGGAAACATCGCTCTTTCTGCCCGTGTTTCCCATCTATAAAACTGTGCCTCCTTCAAAAGGCACAGGGCAAGTTAATTTGTGCCTGCAGGCACTTCAATGGCCCTGTATAAAGGCAGCAAGTACCTGGCCTGGCGCTTTGAGGATTCTGGCATTGTCCTAGCCCTGTACTAACTTCCTCTCCAACCAGGCTTTTGATAGCCTGTTCTTGGCTTTTATTCTCTTTATGGATGTAATCTGCATCGCTGCCATCTCAACAAAGATAAAATCAGTCTCCCACATCAGTCATTACCGGTGTTTGCTTCCCAGGCAAACCTGAACGGCAATCATTTGTACCTCTCAGCTGGAAAAATTCAGGCAAAATGAGATTCAGATGGAGAAGTTGCTTCTAGAAGGAGGGTGAGCAAAGCCGGGATGAGCCCAGCCACCTCCTGGGGAAGCACAGCCTGCCTCAACATTGGGCACTTTATGGATGGCAACGCAGGTTCGACTCTTGTACAGCACAGCTCATGTCCATAAGTGCTTCACAAAGGATATTCCACACCACTGCCCACTTCTCTGCTCATCTCCAGCACTGAAACAACTCCTTTCTATAGTGAGGCTGGGCTCCCTTTTAGGGACGAATTCTCATATTGGTTTCCTAGGTGAAAATCCACAGTAATCCTACTCCAGACAAACTGCTGCTGCTCAGGGGCTGATGTTCAGCTCTCCAAAGAGACTGCTTTGTGGCAATGAGAAACTGTGTTACCCTTTCCCCTCTCCTCCAATTGCTAACTGGAACCCCCAGGTGTATCTAATTTCTGCATTTTTACAACATCATAGGTTTTTCAAGTAATTTCTTCTGGCTCTGCCTGTCTGCTACCTAGAAATCAGCTTTGTGCTTGGGCAGCACATGCAGCATGTGCAGAGCCATCTTGCAGCAGCTTAAAATTGTTTGTGTCAGTACAGTGAGGTTTTCTCAATGCTTGGGTTGTTCTCAATGCCTGGGCTGTGTTGCTTGAAAAGAGACTCCCAGGCCAGCTGGCAGTGCTCACTGCACAGTTCACTTAGAAATGCAACAGCAAAAGAAATGGCAAGTTCTCACCTCCTGCCGGCACCTGAGACCCAGGAGGATCACTCAGCCTTGTACAAGCTTCCCTTCTGCTGCTCCCAAAGCAAAAGGGAACAGGGATGCCAGCACACAGGGACTGCAGGCGGTGCTGGATCACCGCAGCCACTCTCAGGACCTGTCAGGTGAGCATCAGGGCTGGAGCAGGGCACCTTCCCCATCACCAGCATGAAAGGTTCAATTAGCTCACTCCGGCAGGAGGTGTATAATTTCAGATTCAGGATATCATCAGTCAATAGTTAATGAGTGAACTGATGAGAGCACGCACGATGCTTTAAGTGGACTAGCTTGAAGAGGAGGTGAGTGCCTGTAATCAGGGGCGGATTACTGCCATTCAGAGCACACTGCCAGCTGGGTTTGCCTTCTGAAATACTTGCCTGGCTCCCCTCACCATGGAGACTGGTTACACAGAGCATATGCAGGGGATTTGTTTGGTTTCTTCAGGGTTGAACTCTACTCTGGGCTGAATCACCCTCTCACAGTGACATTTTAGGACAGTTGCTGCAGGGAAGGGGAGCAGCATGCATTCTCTGAGCGTGAACCCAAATGGGGCTTTACCCACACTGGAGCAAGACGCTCAGATGCAGTGTAGACTGCTAAAGCAAACAGTCTTGCTGACTTTCTGGAAATGGCTTTAGTTCTATTTGTGCCGTATCTACTCCTGGATATCACTGCATGAATGATGCAGATTTGTCCAGTAAGAGAACAGTGCCCACATCCCTGTATCACTAAGACCATGCAGAGGGAAAGAGACAAATCTGGCTAACTAATTCATCCTGTGCTCTCTGCTGAGATGTACAGGTTAACAGCAGAAGTCTGCTCAGCCATATACTTCTGATGAGGCGCTGAGACACTGCAACTCTTACAGCTGTGACCTCAGTTCAAGGATACCAAGTTACCACTCACCTTTGTGGGATACAGAAACTTTCATCCACCTGAACAACCACAGCTAAAAAAACCTGCTTTGTCTGACACCATCAGTGAAGCCCAAACCAACCCGTCTCACAGCCCAGAGACACACAGAAGCTGTGCAAAGCGCATGGGTACCACCACTCTGCAATTGTGACACCCCTGCTGTGCTCACCTTGTACAACGAGCCTGCCCTGAGCAGTCCTTCGCACCCGAGTGCCAGGTTTGTTTGCAGCACACACGTAGATGCCAGAATGCTGCACGCTGAGGTCTGAGATCATCAGATTTCCTGTCCCCAGCACCTGGATTCCCTCCACACCAATTGGGCGGCCGTCTGTAAGAAAGGGAAAAATATAAAGGTTGCAAACTGGGCCTTTGTCTGAAATTCTCCAAGGCACAGACTTTCTTGAGGTCCAGTCCAAGTTCTTACGGAGTGGTACCACGCACTTGTACTGGGATCTGCCAAGTAAAGTCAATGGCTTATAGCTGATGCTCTTAGCAGAACTGTCTTTGGAGAAAAACAGCATTCTCAGTTAAGTGTTTGCCCAAAGCCACGCTTTGTGCTGCTTGGAAAACCAAGGCACCATCACAGCAAATGTGGAACCTTTCAACATCACGTTCAGGTTAAGATGAAGTTCCCAGAATGCTTTTCACTAGAGCAATAAAACCAAATAAAATCATACCAACTTCTGCAAGTCACTGTCCAAGTTCCTATATTGGACTGACCAAGGATTCAACAGACATGCTGTGGAAAGCAAGCAAACACCCTGATGCACTTCCCTTGCCACCAGCAATTTATGACTTGGGGATTTCCCGAGCTAGAAGTGATGCTTTGTGTCTGTTAACCCTTAGTGGATTTGTGCACTGCCTTCAGAGACTGCATGAACATTGGGTTTTCGATTCCTGATCTCCTGATTACACAGAATAGCCAGGAGTCAAACTCTGAGCTGAAAGGGCTGCCTTCATCCTGAGTGCTGGGTCTGAAGGAGGATGGCTGGAGAGCAGCAACGTTTTCAAAACTGAAACACTTAATATTAAATAGTTCAGAATCAGAGAATTCTTCTTTCTCCAACAAAGCCTGCTTTCACTGGAAAACTCTCAGCCAGCTCTAATTACAATGTGTTTCATTAGTATCAGGCTATTGCTTTTTATTGTTTCATTGGTTTGTGTTTTAAGACACTGTCTGACAAAGGCAGCTTTAAATCACTCCTAGCATGTGTCAGGGTGTCTGGGCAGAGGGGCAAGGCAGGGAATTTGCCTTACTGGAGCAGCAGTTAGAAAGCATACTTTCCTCAGATGGGAACTGGGAATCCAGTTTAAGGAGCTTACAGAAAAGGAGAAGCAAGAACCACCCTTGATGATTACTGCATCTGAAAACCCCGTGAGCCCTCCAGACGTGTGTGCTTCCCAGCAGAAGAGTCTGTGCCTTACACTTCAAAGCTGTGGTTAGGAAAGGGAAACATTAACCCCAAAAATTTCCTCCCAGGAGCTCTGCTGGTCTGTGCCATAGTCTTACCCACCTCAAGTGGGCAGAAATTATTGCTGGGGTCCATTAGCACCAGACAACCTCAAGAAAGTCACCTTGTAATAGCACGCTTTAGATCTCATCTTATGCTTTGCGTAATAAAGAATGTTATGAGGATTGGATCCACTGGATAACCAACAGGCTCTGGAATAGACTGGGAAAACAGAAAGGCAAAGCAGCACCTGGAAGGAAGGGCAAATTAACTACCAAGACATACAGATCCACTTGGCAGGGCAAGGATGGGATGGGGAGCTCACGCCTCTGACAGCAGCATTGGAGGGATCCCATTTCAGACTGGCAGCATCAGGTTACTGGCAAAACACGGTCCAAAAGCTACCGAGCACTTCATAAACATTTCTCCTGTCATGCTCGTTGTATTGTTTTTCAGGAAATTTTTAAGCTTCAAGGTTTCCTTGCTTCATTAGGCAGGCAATGCTAGATCACTTCATTATTTGCATTGCAAAGAAAAATGCTTGGGTCTTCTAGACAGAGAAAAACAATGTCATTAAATGATTAAATGATCACATAGCTGGCCAAGCCACTGCAGCAGTAAATGGCTCAGTCATAAAAGGGACAATAAAACATGACCTGTCCCGCGTTTAATGAGCAATAAGAAGGAACCATTTCCTTCAAACATCATTTGAACTGAAGTGTAAAGAGGTCTGAATTAAATTCAAATTGAACTTGATTTCATCTTTTAAATTAGACCTTTTGGATGCCTGTATTTACAATGGGTGTAAAAATCAAATCTCCCTCTCGAGGGAGGGACGGGATCAGCAAAAATGCAAAGCAGCCGTACTTGGATGCTTCATCCCATCACTGCCTTGAGAAACACCACAGAAATGTGACTTGAATGTCAGTAGATTTACTGTATTATTTATCATGTGCTGCATAATTTAAGCACAACGGTCCCAGCCTGCAGCAGATACTCCACACAGCCTGAATACCTGCATCGATACTTCCCTCAGTCGTTTCTCTGGCTCCAAGTATTAATTAGAGGTGTGATGCTCTGAAGAAACTCTCCTGTCAACCCAGCATCTTTCATCTCCCTGAGGAACAAAGCCCTCCGAGCCCAGAAGCCCCAAGGGAGCTGCTGTTTGATTCAAATAGCACAGCCAGGTCTAGCAGCCACACAGGGTCCCTGTGCCAAATCAGCCCATATGTTTTTCTCATTTGCTGTTTTCTAAAAAGTCCTGCAAGCTTCTAACATAACATCTGTACGTTCCCAACTTCTTATCCTTCTTGCTCTATTTGCTTTAAGGATAAAGAGGCAGATCCAGCACTCTTGAACCCCAATGGGAGGGCTGGGACACAAGTGAGGGCCACGCAGCATCACACAGCTGTGATGGGTTTGGAGAAATGTATGGAAAGGGCTCTGGAACCCAAACCAGCTCAACCTGAGCCACGCTGTGATCAGTTAGAAGGTTTTCAGCTAATATGAGGTCTAACTTGGTAACACCGACAACGCGTACAAATAATACAAAGCATTTAAATAAGAAATCCTTTGTACCCAGGAAGCTCAACACACTGCAGAAGTGCTGTGCATTGGGACTGATGTCTCACATCCACTTTGCAAAGACTGACATCTCTTTTAACCTTGTTTTTCTTGCTGGGAGGCTTGGATCAGGAGATTAAGACCCTGAAAACCCACCTTCTTGGCACTGCTTCCCATCAACAAGTCATTTCTCCAGGCTTCAAACTGTTGATCATTTACTGTGACCTTCCACTTATGAACTCAAAAGCAGAACATCTGAGAGCTGAAAACAAGCCAGACTAGGGGGAAATGACCACCAGGCTATCTCTGCCGGTCCTTAATTGAAGACAGATGAAGGACGTGAAGAGCAGCCTGAAATAAACTGGAGTGTTCTCCTAGTGGGAGATGCTCCCAAAGAATGCCTGCTGTGGAGCATTAGAGGCTCCCAGGTTTCCTGTTGGAGCAAAGGCTGGATGCAAGATGCCTGGGGTTTGGGAGCTGCGTTATTTGTTTTTCCAAGGTGTACACGATGCCTTCAGGAGTCCTTTCTCTGCCTGCTAAGAAGTGATTGGCACACTGGTACCAATTACAGGGACCTGTTAAAACATGCCAGGAGATATGAATATGCAACAACACTACGCCTTTCTTTTTTAAGTAGCAAGTAGAAAGACAGTAACAACTTTCCAATGTTGATCATTTAGGTCTTTTGTGAATTCTTTGTATTGTGCCATAGTAGCCTTCTACTTCTTAGGCACATGGGTCTCCTGCTCCAGTGGACACTGGGCGCAGTGGATTAGCATATTTAGAGCACACTGCAACAGTTGACTATTCAGTATGTGAAGTGGTGAAATTTACTCTATTATTTCTAAACACTTACAGGAACGGTGCTCCTGTCAACCAGTCAGCCATCTATTGCAAGCTTCTGTGTCCAATAAGTTACCAATTAATTGGCTCCTACAATTGTTGTATAGTTTACTTCTTGAATGGCTCCCTCTTCAGTAATTTCCTTCCCATTGTGTGACCCCTTCTGACAACTCCTGTATAACGCTATCAGATAATCACTGTCTTTTCTTTTTCGCCTCACTTTTCTGTATCTCTCTAAATAGTGTATTATTCTGCCTTGGTACCTTTTATGGAGGCCAGCTCAGTGGCCTGTCAGTTAAAGGGTAAGGATACATTAAAATCGTCATTCATTCAAAAGGCTTTGCTGGAAGTGCCCAGGATATTCATTTGTGCACACATACAGGTCCAAGCCTGAAGTGCGTAGCTCTGAAAGGAAAAGCCCTATCTTCCCTGAACAAACTCTTAATGATTTTACATTTCTCTCAGAGCCTGCTCCCTAATGAATGTTGACATTACACGCACTGCAACACACAGGAATTCTGTTTGTGGTCAGCAGCTACAACATATTCCCAAGGAAATTAAATTCAAAATTGATCATGTGACAGTCAAAAACTGGCCCAGAATTATAGCTGCCTTTCCCACTGAAAACCGGCCAGGTTTTAGCAAAGGCAAAGCAGAACGTGCAAATGTTTTTATGGCTTGCTTCCCCTTGCAACAGATAGCTGTAAAAGCAAAATTGTTCTTCCGCTTCTTTCTGATAGAAGAAATGCCACAACATCAAAACTGTGAGCAAATGGATTGAAACAGACCCTCCAAAATGGCAAGACTCCCTGGGCAAAGTCCTGGCAGAACAGCAATGCTGTGACTCTTTCCCTCCACCAAGCAGGAGGGATTGCCATATATCATTAACTTTGTTTAAATTAAGCCAGGTCTACAGCCAAAGCAGGTGCACATCTTTGAGACCTCATGACCATGGATTTTATCACTTCTGGGAGGGGATGAAGGCAGGAAAATGCATCTGAAATCACTGCAAAGAGACAGCAGGCCTACAGACTTATCAGAGGGCCTGTAAGCCACATCGCTGTTGAGATTGTTGAAATGTCATGAAGATATCATCATCCTTTGGACGTGGAACGTTCACACTGAAGGGTAGGGAAAGTAACGAGATCTGCTTCCTGTTCAGCAGCTCTAAATCCACTGCTTTGCCGCAAGGGGTGTTTATTTTTGGTGGAAGGCAGCGCTGAGCTCACACCATCCAGACAAATCTAGCATGAAGCCATTACATCTTCATTATTGCACTGCTCTATAGAGACAAGTGTTTTGAAGAAGGTAATAAGCACTTATAATTAAGGCAATTATAACATAGTTTATTATAGTTGAGCACTAACATAGAGCTGCTTTGTGTCCAGGAGAACCAGAACAGTGCTAGAGCTTATCTGGGGAATTTTTAAACCAGCATCCATCTGATGGTTATGGCTCTGGGGGAAAAGCAGTCAGTGGCAGATTTTATAATCCACCAGAGGAAGCGAGCGGGAAGGCAAGCATGGAGAAATGCACTATTACTGCTGGTACGTGTCCTTGTGCCCTCACAGATGGCTCTGTGGTGGGACATCACTCCTCCCACAAGCCTCACTTGACCGTAGCAGCACGGACCTGAAGCCCCACATCCAGCCCAGCAGCACAGGACAAGATTATCCCTGTTTGTGCTTCAGAGCCACATGGGGTGACTCGGAGAAATTAGCTTCTAAGAACCACACGACCTTGCAGATCACAAGGCCTTGGGGAATGCTGACTAAACCCAACCCCACAGCACGCTCACACAGAGTTACAAGCTCCAGAAGACAAATCAAAAGCCATCAGCTCTTCGCTCAGCACAGACATCTGTTGGGCAACAGAAATGTTGCTCTGCACAAAGTATTTTCTGAGCGAGTATTCCAGTTAGAGCCTAAAATATCCCTTGCTTTCAGACTGGGAATAACGTTACATTCCGCTTGTATGATGCCATCAGACACTGGTCCTGGTTTCCATGCCGATTAAAGAATATCACTGACCTCGGCAGTGAGCATCTGTTTTTTCAGAGCTTCAGACATGGCTACTTTAAGCTCCCTCTGCTTTTATAGAACTCTCTGAACAGGCAGCGAGTTTCTTTTAAGTCTGTTTTACATGGAAGACATGTTTGTGTTGTATGATTCTGTTTCTCTGGGGCCAACAGTGGTGATGTTTTTGATGCAGCTGAAGGAGACGCTGTCAGTCGGGGAAAGAAAATTATCACCTTTCATGGTACATCTACAGATTGAACCAGCCCACTCCTTAACAGCTGAAAACAGGATCTCGGCGGAGGGAAAAAGCAAAGCGTAGACAAGAAAATAAAAAGCACTTCAAGCATACAATTAATCACTGCAGAAATGAAAAGAGTGAATCACTTGTTGCTGAGACAGCCAGTGGCACTCCCTGTTTCCCCTGCGATGGCAATGAAGAGACATGAGACACCCCACTGACCCAGGGCTCACCTAGGCGGCTCCAGGAGACGATGGGCCGGGGGTTGCCTGTGGCGATGCACTCCAGCACTGCAGTCTGATGCACTGTCAGTGTGAGGTTCTCCGGTCCAACAAGAATCATGGGGTCCTTGTAAACGGTGGAGTGGGAGCCTGCAAGGACAGACACATCATTAGAAGGCATCCGCACGGCCTCGCAGCATTTGATTCTCTCTTGTTTGATGGAAACATAGAGGGCTCTGTTCATCCTCTAAGGACAAAGGATGTGGCTGGTGCCATCTTCAATATATTTAGGAAACACATGAAACAACAGGATTGCAATACTTGTGAGGCAGCTGCATTGTCTGAGTGTGTTTTAAGAGGGCACTGATATTTCTGGGGAAAACTCAGCCATCTGACAAGCAGTTCTGTTGATCCCTGCACATGTATGGTAGAGAGAAGGGAACTGCTCTGCTGGCTGCAGGCCATAGGGCAATCATTCCTTGTCTTCTGCAGCACACCAGTGCTGGTTCACTTTGGTGTACCAGGGTGCACGATGGGCTGCACCACATTGCCCTGAGACAGTCACGGTACAATCACTGCTCATGGTGAGATCACAAGTACTTAGCTGCACTACAGCAGCACCAACGTGCAGCAGCCAAGAACAAAAACCATCACCCAAGATCAGAGATACATGGAATCTCCTGACATGGAAGGGACCCTTAAGTTCCATTGTGTCCAACTCGTGGATCTACATTAAAAGCTCTGGTGCAAGGGCACTGGGACCAGCAGAGACAAAGGATAAGAGACAGAAATCACATTTCACCAGGCAAAAGACAACTAGGGACAAAACCATCACCCTGTGTCACAGCTGAACCTCCTGTGAACCCCAAAAAGTGCCTTATTTCTGGGCTGAAGCTCCCATCAACCTTCACCCCCATTTCTTTGGAAGGAAGCAAGAGAGGAACTAAAGGAGGTACTCTCAGTTCTCCATCAGCGAACAAGAACACTGACAGCCTCCTCATTAGTCTTCACGCTCCACATTTCCAACAAGAGCTGGGTTGCACTCCAGAAATGCTGAGGTCAAGCAACATTTGAGCAACCAAAGCAATGTGACAGCTGCTGCTGACAAAAATGCTCTGTGAAAAACACCTGCAGGGAAGAATACATGGGCTGACCGCCCCAAATGGGACAGGGCACTGAGGAGTGGGAGCAGAGGTCTGCCACAGGCAGGAATGCAGTGCAGGGCCTGTTCCCCACCAAAGAAAAAACCTATCTACAAGAGTTCTTCTCCAAGATTTCCTCTCTTCCTGCATTTTTTTAGGGCTACCCTGTCGGAGCAGGGGCATTTCACAGTGGTCTACATGGCCAGCATGGATCAGAGCAGCTCGTGTGTTCATCATCCCTGCAGGAAAAAAGCTCTGAGGTTGTGTCTAAATGGGCAAAATGCAGGAAAAATCACCGTGTCGGTGTGACTTAAGAGCTGACTTTCTCATTGAATGCATTTCACTGCAAGCCATAAAATGTAGATTTTTTTGATGAGAACCAGAATGCACAATAAATTCATATGACCGGTTGGCTAACCCCAAGAGATCTGAAAAACAATACCTTCCCCTCAGTATCTCAGAGTGCCTTTAAAACCCATGTAAATTTATTGTTCTAAATCACAATAGTAAATGTTCACGCTTAGAATAATACGATATTATCATCGTATTATATACAGATTTCAGTATTTCAAAACACTGAAAAATGAAACGAATTATCCAAGGTCACCCAAGAATATCAGCAAACGGGAGCTGAGACCAAAGCAGAATTTATAAAATGCTCCATTTTGCCAACAACAACAAAGGAATCACACTCTTTGATTTACACCCTGAGTCCTACATATGCAATCAAGCTTCCAGGCATGGGATCAGCTCCATGAGTTTGGTCAGATCATGACCATCTCTGGGACTGATGCTTCCGCCACTGCCAGCTCCAAAAGCTCCCCAGAGGGGACAGTCGCCACCCTGGCCATCAGGGAGGAGGTTTCCTCCTCCAGCCAACGTGCAGAGGGGAAGGAGCGACACAGTGAGGGATTCTCATCCTCGATGTTCAAGGCAACGTGAGGGGGATTTCTTCTGAAAGGGAAAAAGCCTCCATTGATGCTTGCGGTCTGCAGGGACTCCTCCAGCAACAATTGCAGAGGATGGGGAGGTCCCCAGCTCTGTTGGAGTGACAGGCACTTCGGCAGTGACGGCACGGGCCGTTAGATCTCGATCAAAAGGATGGCAGCAGAGAGAGATGCAGCTCATGCTGAAAAGGTGTCAGCGCCGAGAGGCAGGCAGCCCCTGGGGAGCAGCTCCGCAAAGCAGGCACTTGAAAATAATCAATCAGCAAGGCTGCAAGGCAGGGCTGTGGGCAAGAGGAAGGGATGGGCTGCAAGCAGGCTGCTTCCTCCCCTGCAGCAGCCATCCTCCTCTTTGCAAACACCCAGAGCACAAACCTGTTTCTTTGAGATTTAACCCACTGCAGTGCGTTTTCAGCAGGCTCAGAGCATGCAAGGGTGCAGTTACAGCTGCGCTGCTCACATGCAGTAATTGAAGCACATCCCAAGCCCTTCAGCAGACACTTAAATGCTGAGCCCGTATTCATCATCTGAGTGCTGTAAGGAAAAGAGAAACCACAAACATCGCATAGACAGGAAACCTGGAAAATATCCATTTGCAATGAGGGATGGTAAGACGACAACAGCTAACAGCTTTCTGTCTTACAAGAAACAATAGCTCAGACCAGAAAATTGACACAAAGAACTTCAATGCATCGATAATTTACTGTACTTTTCCCCCTCCATGCAGTTACTGTTCACAGAGACCAAGAGAACAGGCATCAAAAGCTCCCAGGTCTTTCAGAACCGGCTAACCTGATTTGTTTCTCCACAAGAGCTGACGTACACAGCATCACTCACTCCTCAGCTTCTCCCCATTTCACACACACTGCTTTTTTACAGTCTGTAGGGGCTCATCTGACACTCGGTGCAGGTGTAAACCTCCCGCTGCAGGACCAGTGGCCAGGCAGCTGAAGGCAGGCCGTGTGATTTCTAAGAAGAGAGACAATGGTGTCCATTCACCACTGAGGCTGGGTTGTATAATTTGACTTAATACTTTCCACTTGCTCATGCCAGGAGCAGCTACTGAAGCACCAACAGAGACTTCTGAAGCTAAAAGCGTTTCGAATTAAAAAGACTGACCAGCAAAGACATTCCTAAGCAGAAGGAGGCAATCTAAAAATCAAGTTTAGAAATTGCCCCACAGGGCTCCAAGAGGTCAGCTTGAGTCCCACATGGATGGCTAATGGAAGATGGGCAGTTGGCAGGGCAGTGGAGTATGACACAGCTATGGAAACATGGTAGTGTATTTGCAACCTCCTTCTTCCTCAACTACACTCAAGCTCATCACTTCCAGGGCACAGTTTGTGTAGCCTCCTAAACAGATTGAGCTTCTGCACATGCAAAGTGTGGATGGGAGTTGCTTTGGTTTGAATTCACAGTAGTTCTATCGCACTGTATTTCCAGCAGCACACAAAAAAGCAGCCAGTATATGACTTGGGTCTGTGTTTTCTGTGCAGGGACCATTAGACACTGTCATTCCTTCAGCTGGAGCTTTCAGAGGTGAAAAACCAGTTTTCTGCCAATTGCTTCAAATCTGGATGGAGAGCTGAGTCAAAATTCAGACTGGGGAGCTCAGGGTTTTTCCTTCTCATCTTCCAAAAGAAAGGTTAGCTCACTCTGGTTGCAGTGTAACACTAACAGCCTACAGAACATAATTCCCCTATTAGATAAATAATTGATCACCGTGCGTGCTGCAATTACTTCCAGGGTGGGCATGTCTCACAAGGAAATGATGAATCTTCCACGTTTCCAGAAGAATTTATTTAATGTAAAGATGCTCTAACCCTTGTTTGCACTGTCCTCCCCTCTCTCCAGAAACTGGCATTAATTTGAAGGCTAAGAGACAGATTTATCTGCTAGCAAATGGGCTAATCCTGAACGAGGAAAGTGCTTTTGCCTGACAGAGGAATGCTTCTCAGTGCTGTCAGCCTGAAGCACTCTTAAATGGTTCCAGTTTAGAACAGCAACAGGTAGAAAAAGAAGGAAAGGCAGCCAGGATAGCGTGTGCTGGTACTGACCTGACACAGTGAGCCTGGCCTCCCGGCTGAACTTCACATTAGCAATATTGGTGGCAACACAGTGAAAAATCCCACTGTCTTCTGCTCTTAGTCCTGTAATCTGAAGGACCCCCTTGGGAAGCAGCGTGTACCTGCAGCAGGAGGAAAAGCTGAATCAGAACCCTGCAAAGCAGGACACGATGTGAAAGCGGGACATGACATCACACAAGGGAGGAAGGTTGGATCCCTTTTTCATCTTCTGATGCATCCTTGGGAAAGGATGGATTCTGATGGAAGGCTACAAAGTACGTGTTTCCTACTTACCTGTGAAAAGCTTTGGAAGTGTGTTCTCATGTGAACACAGCTGATGTGTGTTACATCCCATCAGCTGAAGCACAACGACTGCAAGCAAGCACCAAGGGAAGTGTGCGTTCCACACTCCCAGCTCCAGGCCCAACGCAGGACTCAAACCCATGCAACCTTAAAACCTCAAATGCACGGAAGAGAGTCTTTAAAATAGATACTGTGCAGGCATATATGTAACTGTAAATATTTTGTATATATAAAACAGATTAATTTGGAGCATGCATGCATATACACACACACGTGTACACACATCACAGGTTGCTTGGCAACTGTGTGTTTAAATTGGCTGTAGTATGTCATTACACTATGATGAGTTAATAATCCACTTCTGCCTGGAAGATGAAGAATATCTTCTTCTATGGCAGCATATGGTTAAATGCCTGCAACCTGCTCCCTGTGCCACCTTCCACGTGTGTGGCTCAGTGTCGGTGGCAGCCTGACAGCAATCAGTTCTACACGTCCTGAAGTTGATTGCAATCTCTCCAGGACTTTAAAATGCCCGTTGTTTTGGATGAATTATACCACAAGAAGCCTTCATTTTGTTAACAATCTGCCCACAGCATTAGAAGATTCAATTCCAAAGCTATTATTCTGCCTTCAAAGCCTCCAAGTGCAAGACTCAGCATACAAATTTATATACGCGTCTATAAGCAGAATTGTGCCAAGCATGATTAATGCAGAAATTCAATTCAGTTAGAGAAACAACCCTCACCACCTAGGACCACTGGTGTCAGAGATTAATCTACTGAGCTAACAATAAAAATCTTCCCTATAAATGTACTCCTATTAAAAGCCTGTTCAAAATCAGGACACCAAACATAGAAAACCTGCTCCTAGGCCACATCCTTGGCAAGCTCCCTGCCCCATACAGAAGTAGTGGGATGAATGCAGTTCGTGGTGGTCTGCCTCTTCCTCCCCAGTCTTGGAAAAAAAAGAGCCCTTATCACATTTGGATCATGCCATAGGTCTGGCTATCCCCACATCAGTAACCTCGAGCTCAAAAAGGGGGCAATGAGCAACTTCTTCCATCTACCCATCCTGCAACATCTCACTAGGATGTACACGAGGTGTCAGGCCCAATTCTTCACCTCCACTCCTGCTGATGCTACCTTGGACCAGATGCCCTACTCTGCTACAGAGTTGGTTTAGCGCTTGTTTGAGTGAGGAGCCTTCAGAGGAGATTAAATTTAACAAACCAACCATGTACCAGGCTAAAAAAAGCTCAGATGAAAAACACCAAGAAAAACACAACCTGACAGTTGCAGTTTTCCACTGCAGGGTTGGGCCTCTTGGGTCCTTCTACTGTAAGTTCACCGTAGCACTGAAAAGGTCAGGTATTGTTCCAATCCTCATGTTTTCTCCTGCCTCCAAAGAACCCAACCACGCGCTGCAGTAGGACTGACATTTCAAGAATAGAGGCTTTTAGGAAAAATATTTACAGCTTCCTGGTTTCGCCTATTCCCAACACACAGCCATCAGTTGGTGATGGAGGTGTGCTGCGACCGATTGTCTCCCACCGCCGGTCATGAAGACCTCCAGCTGCAGCTGGGAACACTGGTGTGGAGCACACACTTCCTGCCACCTGTTGGGATTTAGGGATGTTTCCGACACGAATGGAGCAGCCTGGCAAACACAGGAAGTGAGGACGTGCTGTCCCAGGTCTAGCATGGGGGAAGGGGAGAGGTTGGCGTTTCTCTGCTGGAAGACTGCAGGGGAAACAGCAGCACTGTGGGATGCTCTGCAGAGCTTCCCTGCTGCCACCCACAAAACACCGTGGTGTAACTCGGTGCTTGTAGAGGTTCAGGAGACACCTGTAAGACCAGAAATCACGATTCTAGCTTGGAAAGAGTTGCACAAAATGGGGCCATAGAGTGATGAGGGGTGCCAGAGATGCACTGAGCTCTGCCAGGACTGCTGGTGGCTCACCATGCAGGAATGTCAGCCTGGAGGAGGGCTGCCTCCTCTCAGGAGAGGGCAATGTAAGCCTATGCCCCAGAAAAATCAGCTAAAAGGGTTTAACTAGCTCTCCTGTAACACAGAATCATTCGAGTTGGAGGGGGCCTTTAAAGGTCCTCTAGCCCAATTCCCCTACAACGAACAGGGACACCTACAACACGCGCTATTTCTGGACAGTCTTTAGCCAGAAGGTGCCCAGACAACTCAAAACATGAACTGAAAGAGTTTTCCATGGCAGAAATGGTAGATAAGAGTCTCAGCCCGCATCAGTCATGCCATAGTACAACTTTGTCACCTGTTTCCACAGATGTGGAACAGTGTTATGTGGCTTGGACATGCCCTACCTTTCATTGTCCGTGTTGACCGGCATGCGGTTCTTCTGCCAGAGGATGACGGGCTCAGGGAGACCATGAATCTGGCACTGGAATCTTGCAACGCCCCCTTCTTCCACCACTGCATTCTGAGGGTGGATGTGGAAGTCAGACATGGCTGGAAGACACAAAGAGAGACAAAAATCATAGAATCACAGAATGGCTTGGGTTAGAATGGACCTTAAACACCATCTAGTTCCAATCCCTGCCATGGACTGGTTGCCCCCCACCAGATCAGGCTGCCCAATGCCCCATCCAACCTGGCCTTATGTATCTCCAGGGATGGAGCATCCGCAGCTTCTCTGGGCAGCAGTGCCAGAGCCTCGAAAATATTCACACGTGAAAAGAGATCCATGACCAACAGCTGCACATCAACTACAAATGTCTCAATTTCCTACAGCTGGCAAACTGCATCGCCCTGCATCCGCCGTGGCAGAAGAGCAGGCTGCTTGAAACCTCTTCTCCTACCTCGTGGCCCTTGCTGTACACCTGCACACTGAGCCAACTGACGCACTGCACCTTCTACCTTCAAGCATTCCCAGACTGCAGAGCAACAGGTTTCAGGCAACACATAACAGGCTGACAGGAGCTCAGCAGCCCCGCTCACCAACGTTGGTGATGTCAAGACCACCCCACAGAGAATGACAGACCCCAGCATGCCCACACAGGGTGCATGCAGACCTGCCCACTGCAGCACAGCCACAGCTGTAACCATTGTGCAGAAAGACGCTGGCGTGTTGTTAGAGCTACATAAATAATACAGTAATTATTACTATTAATTAATTGGAAGGTGCTGCCTGTTGACTCCGCAATAAACATATTCAAGGCTAATAAGCATCCCAGTGGTTACTTAGCTCGTGATTCATTGATAGTGCTGCATCTGCAGGAAGACTGCTCACATTATCATATAAAATAAACTCAGAGAGAGCCCCTGCTCCACCACCCCAGCCCCATCACACCAGCCAGAAAGCCCCATCCCCGTTACATGTGTCAGGCATAATGAATGTACCTCTGCTAAGGAACAAGCTGCCCATGTGTCAGGGCAGCTTAATCATTCATCTGCAAACTCCAGTTGGGCTCAGGCAGATGGGAGGTGGCCATTAGCAATCATACATTAAATATGTGTTGCATTAACCCGCCCTGCTCCCCGACCCACGGCTCGCAGCAGATTTGTTAAGAGGATTGCAACGATGCACAGCAAAACCTCGACCCGGTCGTGGGGTTCGAGGGGTTTTCAGCCATACAGGAGTGGGTTGGGGCCCCCAGCCCTGTGCCAGGCTGCACACACCAGCACAAGGCAAAAGATCAGGCACTGATTATTTCCCTTTCCCAAGATGGAAGCTAATGCAAATAGCCCCTCTGGCACGGGGCAGAGCCCAATGCTCAAATGGTAATTTACCCAGTTGCTACAGGTTCAGCCTGGAAATGAGACTGCTTGTGTCCCAGAGCACCCAGCCACATGGGAAGGGCTCCAAAGGCAGCCGGTGGGTCTTGTACAGCAGCCTCCAACCCAGGCAACCCCTTTCCAAAGTGAAACAAATGGGAATTCTCAAGGCAGGAGAGCTCAGGCTGGGGTGAGCATCTCACAACCAAAGCCGATGAATCCTCAGCTTAGAATGAAGAACTGTGAATCCAAGAATTAAAGAGAATGACACAAAGGTTGTTAATAAAGAGGAAAAAAAAGAAAAAAAAAGCAGGGATCCAGATGCCTGCAGGAAAATTGGTTACAAATGTACAGATGCTCAGCACTGAGGTTTTTTCAGTGGCTGACAGGGTTGATAAGAAGGAGGTGTGAATGAGAACAGCCCCAGCACAGACGTCGCTCTGCTGGCTGTAGAATTCACTGTCGTTCCTTTATTTCAATAATATCACCTCTTATAGGTAAAACTGCAGCAATAACCTCCGCTCCTAAAGACACCAGTATTAATATTTATCATGAATAAAACATGGGAAGTTATAAATAATTCAGTTATGAGGATGTTAAGTAAAATATTACTTTTCAACGACCCTATAATGTGGCTTTGAAGCACGGTTTTATGTTAAATGCCTAGGAAACACTGTGACCCTTGCCAAGACCAGCTGGTTTGCAGAAGATGCATTAAAAATTCATTCACTGAGCTACAAAATGCTATTTTTAACACAGGTTTACGAGTTTATTTACACTTGACAAGACAAAGGCTTTCGTAGCACCTCCTGTAAAACAGCACCCAAACTTAAATGCAGGTGGCTGCCTGGATGCTGCTTTCAGCCAGCAATAAATCTCAAGGTGTGCGGAGAGGAGCGGAACAGGAGCACGGCTGCTTTGCTGGGCATTGCTCAGAGGGCCTCCATCTCTGCTGAGCCACCCAAGAATTTTACATATGTGCCAGGTGACTGTAAACAAACTCCTGCAGCGAAGTGCTTGCTCATGGTTGTCACTTGTCCTTCAGCAGACTCCTGCTGCCAGCACACAGAGAGGAGCTGCACGGCAGCCCGGTGGGGTTGGCCAGCAGCCAGGGAGCTGCATCTAATTTCTCTGCTAATGGCCATAATCATTTAAAAAGTAAATACATGCGATCACAATATTCCCTCTTAATATAAGCCCCTAAGCAGGGAGACACCGGGAATCCAGCAGCCCATGTTACCCATCACTCTCCCACAGTCTCCACCATCCGTGTGCCAGCGGAAGAACTGGTGCTGCCCCAGGGCCCCCTGTAGTGTCACCAGGTATCCCATTTATCTGCCCTCTTTCACCTCCGTGTGGAGCACAGTTCCATGCACGGTGAGCACAGGGTACCCAGCAAACAGTAAAGCCAGACCCGAATCCTGCACACAGCCCCTACTCCACGCTTATGCTACAAACCATGGTGCCTCAGTGCTTTTGCTCACATCACTCCTGGACTTCAGCCATGGTACGCAGAGACTGACACAAAGCAGAGAGATAAAAAACCAAAATGCCACAGAATAAGGCTTGCAGAAGATGGGGAAACACAGAATCGAATCATAGAATCACTAAGGCCGGAGAAAACCACTTACTCAATCCACCACCACCACAACCACCAAACCATGTTCCGCAGCGCCAATGGCTTTAACAGCCCCTCTGTGCCACTCATGTAGGTGCACCTTCCCTCCTGGGACAGACGCCAGCTGGGAAGTCTAAGGCCTGAGGCAAAGGAGTTACTCTTCCATTCTTTTAATCTTGGAGGACCTCTGTCAAAATGGAGTTGGTTCCCCAAAGAGAAGCCCTCATCCCAGTGCATGTCCTACAGACACAGCTCCAAAGCCACAGCATCACGCAGGTGAGCAACAGCTCTCATCCTCATCCATATTCACAAGAGATTTGCTCTGGCAAACAAGCATGCTGGGGCTCCTTTAATCAAAGAGCAAACACACTCCCAGCCTATCAGCTCCCGTGAAAAGGCCAATGGAATAAAACTGAGAATAACTATCAAATGAAATTTCCTTGACTCCATGAAGAACTAAATTGAAACCATTAGTGGCCAATCCTTTTTTGCTCAGCACAGCATTACTGCTAAGCCAGAGATTGACCTAGATTTGATACAGAAGAAGAAAACATTAACTTGGTATGTCAAAGTAAATCCCAGGCCTGCTAGAATCATTAAAACGCAAACATTATTATCAGCTGCAGACACAAGGGTAGGAAGAAAACTTACAAGGTGCCAAGCATGGTGTTAGGAGAGTACTGGGAAGCCCACCTAGATCTGGAGTTGCATTGCCTGTTGCTTCTAAATTTCTTGTGGGAAGCAAATACCCAGGGCTGCGATGCCCGAGGATGCTGGGGAGATGCTGAACATCCCAAATCAAGGCTAGAGAGCCCACAGATCGCAACCCAAGGGAAAGACCTTTTCTCCACATTTCTGCCACCAACCCATTACATTTGAGCCTCTTCCAATGGAGGCACGTGGCTAAAATGCCTCTGAATTAATTCAGTACATGGAACAAGGAAGTACCTGAGCTTCCAGCTGCTCCTGATGAGGAAGGCAGGCTTCGTTAGCTCTATTACAGCTGAGGAATATGAATCCTGAGAAGAACATGGTGAGAACAAGTCACGGGCAGGCATAGTTCTATCCTGGTGCTGGTAAGGCTGCTGATTTTCATACCAATATTTCCAACTTCCTAATTAAACTGAATTTCCCTTTGGGCCAGCAGAAGTCAGGGTTGTTTTTAAATCATCACAGCCCACCATACCAGTTCAACACAGTCCTGAACTGGTCTCAGATCAGGCTCACAGCTGCAGCAGAACCAACCCTTGGTATGGCTGAGGCTCATTAAATACCTGTCCTGGTTGGCACCACATCAAGGCACCTGCCTCAAACCACAGACTCGTTGAGGTTGGAACAGAACTCTCAGATCCCCAGGCCCAACCCACCCCCCCCATGCCCACTGACCATGTCCCCAGCCACCACATCTCCATGGCTCTTGAACACCTTCAGGGACGGCGACTCCACCACCTCCTTTTCCAATACAAGCGGAGAGAGAAGAGCTTCTTCCACTTTCTCCCAGCCTAAATCACCTTCCCACTGCCAGACTGCTTCCTCAATCTTTAAGACAAGACGCTGCATCTTCTTTCCCCATGCTTTTTAAAATAAAAGATGCATTTATGTACAAAAAAAGCTGACACCACCTCATCCCGGTGGCAGCTCCAGCTGCAGAGCTGCCCTGCGTGTCTAATGATGCCATTGTGCGAGGCCAGCGCCCAGCGCTGAGCGTCAGCCGCTTTGTGCATAGCGAAGCGTGAATGGCAGCGCCGCCCATTTGGCTGTTTAATTCTCCAGGAGGAGCGGCGGTAAGAAAAATCGCCTTTCTCTCAGCTTTGGAAAGGGAAAGAAATCTTCAAGAGCAGCTGTACTGCTCCCAGCACAGCGAAAATCCCCTCTGCCCCTGCCCGCTAATCAGAGCGCCGAACTCCTCAATCTCTATTGTCCATGCTGGGCCTCAGATCCCAAAAGAAAACAGGCAGCAAGACTCGGGAGTCAAGGAAGACATTTTGGGGTTTAGCTCTTGGAAGAGAACCCAAAATGCATGGGGGTAGGAAAGAAGGGGAAGCCCATCCCGCTTTCTGTGCCAGGCAGGTGGAAGGAGGGTCACACTTTGCTCACAGCCTCTGCACCAAACCCT